CTCATGCCCACGTAATCCCGTATAAAAAAGGTTTGTACCTGAAGGCCACAACCCAAGGGAAGGCGTTTTGGTATGGATTGGATTCACCCAGGGAATGGCAGTTCATTGGCTTGTTCCTGGAACATGCATAAGACCATCTGCGAGCCAGAGAGGAAGGCGTTAAAGATTGGAGGCAAATTTTTCTTTTTCGTCTCCAATGGTTGGTTGCCAACCAGGTTCCATGGATTCAGCCCCGGATGGAGACGACAAAGCGCTCAATAGCCTGGGCCACCATGCATCGGCAAAAATCTGATCAAAGAAAGCCGTCTACCGTTTGCTTTCATCCCAAAAAAGCCATTTTGAAGCCATCGTGGCCCGCACTGCTTCCTGGAGCCCCCTTTTGCGCTGGAACATTTTGATATTGACGACAAAATAAGCTGCGGTCAATGCCAAGGCTTGCTAAATTTGTTACATAAGCTTAAACCCTAATCTGTCGCCATATCACATGACTACGTACAGACAAGGTTGGAAAAGGAGCGAGCCACGTAAGTAAGTAAGAGTTTGGGGCAGATGAAACCGACAGGATCCGCCGATGGAAGTTGAGTATCGGGGCAAGACTTCGAAAACGCGGGGGAAGTGACTGTCAACCTTCGACTGAGGGAGTCGTATGACCCTTGCATGCATAAATTGGTTCATGACAAGTATCAGATCTTCGATTGAGATGGGACGTACCCGTCATGACGGTGTTGTAAATCAACGGAGAGATCGGACAGCGTCTATGTCAATCATGTCCTCATGGAAAACCTTACCTGATTAGTATATATATCGGCGACGGCCCGCCTGTCATTGCCTTCTTTCTAGATAGTTACTGGATTCCATACACACTACTCCGTACTCTCTCTTGTCGTTTTTTGGGAGAAGTGCCAGCAGTATGCAGAAAGTAAAGCCTTCCCCGTAATACGGCAAACTAGACATCGCAATTGATGTATAAGTACGGAGTACGCAGTATGGGGTTTCGGAATGGGTGGCGTATCGCCGAAGGGGGGAGGGAGCCCCAGTAAAAAGAGAAAGGCGGGAGGCTCGGGCGGTTATCTCGGGCCTAGTGAAGGTTGCACAGAACTCAACCCCGTTATCCCTTTCAGCGTACTCAACCCTTCCCTCTCCCCTGTAGAACACTTAACACATCACTAACATTGTTCTTGTCTCCCTTTTTCTTCTTCGGACCGCGCTTCCTCTTGTTCTGGCTGGAGCCCTGCGGAAGAAACTCCTCCTCATCGTCATCGCCAAATCTACTATCACCGAAACCCATGTCCATATCCAGAGCATCTTCCATCTCCCGGCGTTTAGCTTCCTCAAGAAATGATTTATGTTTTTCAGCAGACCTCTTATCCACGTCATTGGTGTCGTCGTCGGATATCGGCTCTCGTGTTCTGATTGTCGCGGCCTTCCTCAATGCTTCTCTTATGGTAGGATCGGACATGAGCGGATTGGAACGGTCGGTAGACTCCTGCTCAGACGGTTCTGGTTCCCGTTTGGCTTTACCGGTAGCAAAATAGTCACGTCGCAATGTTGAAGAGGGTTTGTGTTCGTCGTGTGTTCCCACAGCAGATCCAGAAGGGTGTTCCTTTGGTGTTGAAGCGTCCCTTTTGTCACTCTCCTCCTCTGAAGATGTACTCTCATCCTCAGCAGCATTCACTAAGGGGTTGTAGTCATCTCCAACCCCGGCGAATATATCCTCATCATCCTCGGCCTCCAAAGCGTCAGTTGGCTTCATCCTCGCCAAAACCTCTGCAGGAACATCCATTCCAAGCGGCTTCGCGTTCTTGTCCACAGACAAAAGGTGTGCATTGGCACCATCCTGCTTGTCCAGCCATCTTACTTTTCTCTTTGTCTTCCCATCCGCGTCCGTTATGACCAGTATTTCCTTCCGTCTCCCACTTGCATCCGTCTCAACCCACCGTTTCTTCTTAGTTTCTGTAGAGCCAATCTTCTTAAATTTGCTTCCAAGGGAGGGTTCTGGTTGTGTCGATTGAGCTAAGCGGCTAGCTTTGAGATGCTTCAAGATCTCATCGCGTGTCATCTTTTTGCTTCCCACTTGTGCCAAAGGCGCCAGATTGCCTTTCTTCTTCTCTTTGCCCCTTATCTCGACGCTCTCGACTTTGTCCTTCTCCTTTTCCTCGAGGATGCGTTCGAACTCATCGTCATCGTTCGGTATCTCAGGCGTTGGATCCTGGCTCTTGGAAGTGATGTCTTCACCTGCTTTAACCCTTTTCAATAACTGCCAGTCAAGTCCCTTGATTAAGTGAGTACTGGAGATATCACCGCCCACCCCAATCTCGGCTCGTAGTTTGTCAAACGTAGGCTGGTCAATCTGCCCTAGCTTCAACAGCTCTTCTAGCCCACAGACTCGCTCCTCCCGGTCATCTGCCTCCTTGCCATCATTTCTCTGTCGTAGTGATGCCCTGTCTTCGTATCC